GGATATCTTTTAGGCATTCAAACTTTCACTGTTTCAGGCTAAGTCAGTGGTCAAATAAACTTGATCTAGAGTTAGAACAGCTGGTTAGCATATTGGCTGACTAATTGTCTCAGTCGTGTTAGAATGGACTAAAGTATATTTTTGCCAGAGCAGTTTTGACAAGAAAGGGAAAAGTCTCGTTGTACTGTATTACTTGGGAAGGAATGAAAAGATATAATTAAAAATTTGAAACTAAGCGTAAATTTATTCTTAGCTGAGAGAATTTGGAGTCGTCAGTAGGATTCAAGGAAAAAATGTGGAGGAGATTTTTTGTTTTGCATTTTTATTTCAAATATTCTGATTTTTTGATGATGAGATCACACTTAGGTTGTAGCGACATACTAACATTAGTGTTAAGCATGAGCTCAAACCGACGATCATATCTCCCCAATTAGGCAAAACATTGAAATGCATGTGAGGGAGAAATGGTTTTTTAAATGACGTTGTTTTGCAAACAGATCGTTTAATTTCTGCAGTATCATAAGGATTCATCATTGTCTTGGCTATTGTATTGCCTCTCTATCTTCTTTTTTCAAAATTAATTCGAAAGAACGGTGGCTTAGCAGCGAGGGGAACCTGTTACTTTTTTTAACACAGATGAAATAAGTTTTTTAAAAGTAATGGTCTATATCAATGTTTTTGAGAATTAAATTTGCGTGCAAAAAAATGTACTTGTTTTGATGATTGATATGTTGGAGGATATTGGACTACCTATTTTCAAGTAACTGTAAACAACAATTTAGCAGTTTTTGAGTATGAGGAATTCTAAAGACAAATTATGGAGAAGTAAAACTTCCATGTCCGAGTTTCAAAATTGACAGGTTTCACTTTTTTTTCATAAAATAGAGGATGATACATTTTTGCTCTTTCTGATTCTGCAGCCACTTTGCATTTAGGTAAAGGTTAACGATTCGTTATCGTTTTTTGGCATGTTCATTGGGCGTTTTCTTCGAATGCAGTCTTCTAAAATTCATATTTTGTGAAATGTAGTAGTTGAGGAAAAACTTTTTTAAGAATATTGGTTGTTCTGTTCTTTTATCTTTTTTCTCAGTCTGGCTTCCTCATTTTTAGAAAAATTAGTTGTTACTTAAATATTTTATAAAAAAGTGTTTTGACATTTACACATTCCATTTTGTTAAGCCATCTCTGTCTTTCAATTTTGGTAAGCGGCAGTTTTATCGATTGGCGGATTAAAGCATTCTTGGTTGCTGAAAATTAATCCGTAATAGCCCAAAAAAAATTTTTTTAAGTTGCTTTTTTAAAATTGGAATTGAAGAACAGCAACTTCATTTTTTAATTGCAAGTCGTTCCGAGAAAAGTTTTCTCTTTTTGGCTGTAACTGATTAAGTTTCAGGTATATTACTATTTGGACGACAGTACCCCATATCTTTCTGTGATTCCAGTACCTGATGATAAAATAACACTTGGTGATTTTAAAAAAGTTTTTGGGAAAAAGGGATACAAATTTTTTTGCAAACAACTCGATAAAGCAATTGGGTGGTGCGTTAGTTTAATTTTTCTTTTTTAGAGCTTTTTTTGATTATAACTCCTCTCTAATTTTTCTATTACGTTTGTTTTCTGCTGTGATTGAGTACACCAGATTTCATAGCATATTTTATTAAAATTGCTCCAACCCCATATCGTGATGCAAACTGTGAGTGGTTTTAGTGAAGTGAAGGTTGAGTTACGTGATAACTCGACAAAACTTGAAAAATCTTCTAATGGGCTTATTGAGCTAGTGCTTCTGTCTAGCTCTAATGGGTCTCATATATCTGGTACTTCAACGCTGCCAAGGGCTGCTTCAAAGAAAGGAAAAAACGGTCATAACAAGCATCAAGTACATAGTCATGCTCATAACGTCAGTTTATATGCTTAATGGTTGCATTAAATTTATTACCGTATACGTTTCATTTCTTCTTGTCTTACTGAATTTTTTTTTTGTGGACTAAAGGTTTTTTTGTTTTTAAGGATGGATTTTTGCGCAAAAAGCGGTCGCTTCACGAACTCTCTGCAGCAAGTGATTCAACAGATGGGCATATCAATACGGCGTCGAAAAGTAATGAAAATAGTATCAAAGCCAACAGTTCTGCTACAGTAATTAGTAGTAGGTTTCTCGTGTATTGCCAAGATATTTCTTATTTTATCTTTAAGTGAGCTTCCAGCTTATTTTATTCTTTCTGTGCTGTTTAGTTATTTCGGTTTTTTTGGATTTTTTTTTACTGATTAAAATTGCATTTTGCGACTTATTTGTCAAATGCACTAATTTACTTTTAATTTTTCTAAACGTTTATATATTCATCTTGCAGAGAGAGCTGGTGAAGGTTTGGCTGAAATGTATACCTCAAATTCCGAAGACCCATACAAATTTGATGATATGAATTCCAGGTGGGTTACTCCTTAATTCTGATGAGCTGCGTTTTTTTGAATCACAACTATTCTTTAACTTAATCAAGTTTCATTCAAACCTTGACTTTAAAACTTCTGAACTTTCCAAACTGTAGGTTTTCTTTTCAATCGGGACCAGATTCATCAACTTATGCTGGAGTTCCCATGATGAATCCGACAGGTTTGCCATGTGGGAAAGTTTGCCGTCAAAGAAGGCCGAGGAAGGAGAGGTATAGGAAAGCTTACGTTCCAAGTACTATATCATCAGTTACAGAAAGCAGGTGCGCTTTTTGAAATTCAAAATTTCTGTGCTGTCTTTATCGTTTATTCTGCCATTTTATCATGCTCTCATTAAATGCAACTCATAGACGTTTTGTCTTGCGTTATAAGTTTATTTAATACTTCGATGTTGATTGCTTTCAAAGGAAAATTTAGATGAACACTTTTGATCAGGCAGCCTAGCTATTTAATTGATTTGTGCTTTGTAGTCGAACATCTCTCTCGCTTCCCAGAATTGTCATAATTTCATTGTCTATGAAAGACGCTCCTTATTTGGGGATTTCAGTAGTTGGCCATGATGGAGGAATTTTTGTTAGCAGCATTTCGAAAGGTACTTACTATACTGTAAGTTTCTGAATTTTTGATTGTTTCTTCTAAAAAGGCGTAATTCACAGGCGGCGCTGTTGCTAAGGACGGGAGGATTGAAATTGGTGATCAGATAATTCAGGTGAACAGGACTTCTTTTGAAAATCTAACCGAGAAGCAAGCAGTACAGTTACTTAAACAAGTGGCAGTTAGTAGAAGGTTTTTTTAAAGCTATTACGTTTTTATTTTCCTTCTGTTGAAGAAGAGTTTCAAGACATCTTTTTATTTTTTTTCAGGCCGGTAACTTTGTATGTCGCCAAAAGGCCGTGTTCTATTGATAGTCGTTCAGATATACTTGCCGGTCTTGCTTCAGAAACTTTGCCAATTGATATATCTCTATGGGTAGAGAGTACTAAGTAAGGAATTTGTAATCTATAACATTTTAGTTATTATTAGTAACTTCAAGTTCTTTAACCTTAGTTCGACGTTTAAGCCAAAAGTTTTAAAGAAGCTTTTTGTTGT